ATACCTGCACCTCTTCTCCAAACGAACACACCCATCATCATCGCATCTTCTCCATCGATATCTCCATTTTTTAACAGATACGTTCACCTCTTCTCCAAATGAACACATCCATCATCATCGCATCTTCTCCAATCGATATCTTTTCTCCTCCACATACATACATCATCGTCTACCCTATACGATGAACAAATCGATACCCAAACCCTATATACGAACAGAGATCCCACAACATATACGCTTCCCACTGCCTGTTCCGTTCAATTCGTCTTATTGATATAAATTTTTGTTATAGATATTATTATAAATGATGAAAAAAAATTATATGTTAAAAAATCAAATAAGTTAATAAACAATCCCAAACACTCCTATAAGTCAATAATATAGAAGACTGTCCTTTTTGGTCATTTTACAGATATAAGCAAAATTTGCTAAACACTAAAAAACAACTTATCAGCTTATTACAATATGATACCGCTATAAGCTAATCCAAACACTTTTTACAAAACTCTGGTTTGATACCGCATAAGTTAATAAGCACTTTTACAAAAAAACATAAGTTGTTTTAAATAAGCAATCACAAACACCCCCTAAGTATTTTGTTAGAACTCAATGATTATCCTAATTATATTTTAGATTTTTTATATTTAAAATGAGATGTTTATCCTGTATTAGATTGTGTTTATCTGCAGTTAGTTACACGAATTCAGTTATAGGATGAAATCGGATATGGATGAAATTGTTTAGGGATGAACGGGTTTAAGAGTTTTAAGAATTTAAGAGTTTTAGCCAAATGCTTTATAATATAGTATAGATATATAGATGAGCGATCAAATGAAAACCACTCCAATTTGTAAAAACCGTAAAAACTACTCTCATTCGTCGATTTCATTGTTTAATCTTATGAATTTTTTTTCATGAAATTGTTTAATCTTGTGAAATTGTTTCATATAATACTTTTTTGATGAAGTTGTTTCATATATGGTTATGAAATTGTTTCATATATGGTTATGAAATTGTTTCATATACTACTTAATGAAATTGTTTCATGTATTTCTCTAAAATTAATGAAACCGTTTCATGTATTTCTCTAAAATTAAAATAATGAAGATGATAATATCAATGATTAACATCATCCACAATAAAAATGATTAATCAATCTCTCATAATTACAAAAAAATGAACAAAATGAAAAATTATGATTAGTTGAATGAAGTTTGTACGGTTTGTACAAATTATGTGTTTTTATTTGAACGTTCCCCTATATATATATATATATATATATATATAGGGTTGGGTTCACGTGAGACCAAGGGTTTTTCATGAGACCCGTAAGACCAATTTATGTTCATTGATCAAATTTATGAATTAATGATCTAATGGTTGCAAAGTTGCAAGGTGGCAATTTCGTAATTAATGAGAAGTCTCATGGTGTTTATAAATGTTCAGATCTGACGATTGTAAATCTAATCCAAGGGTTGAGAATTGGTCTTACGGGTCTCACGAAAAACCATTGGTCTCACATGATCCCAAGTCTATATATATATATATATTTACAAATCCAATAAGTTATAAAAACTTTTAAATCCAACAAATGTGAAAACGCAACATTTATACGATGTTTTTTCATGTGTAAAAATGTTTTGTTTTCAGGACTATTTTGTGTGTGAAAAAAAAATCATGAATACTTCACATATGAAATAACATTATGTAAATATTACATTTTCATATGTGTTGTTTCATATATAAAACAACACAAAGCTGATTTGAATAGATTATAATATTCAATAGAAAGGAAAGAGTTTTACCGCAAGGGTTCGGAGGTTCGAACTAAAAAAAAAAAGCATAAAAAGTTTTAGATCACAGATAAATATTTTGAGAAGATGAGAATCTTATGAGCTGTTTGGTAATTGCTGAATGATTTGGTGCAGAATAATTAAGTGGTCAGAATGATTAAGAGGTTCTCATGATATAATATAAAATGAAATATAATTGTTTGGTAATTGTGTACACTGAAATTAGGGCTCTTAATGTTTAAGAGAGATCCATGATACAAAATTATTCAGAAGGTTTTAGAACCATTAAGAGGCATATTTTTTTTTGCCAAATAAGATTCACCTCTTAACGATTCAGATGTTGCCTCTTCATAGAAATATTAAGAGGTAAACCAACAACCTCTTAAACATATTTCCAATAATAAACAGTATAAGCATATTTTTGATATAGGGTCCTCGTTAAGCATAAACCTAAAATTTTCCATGTAAAACTTTCTTCTGTAAACAATCGTGTCCGATGTCCAACGGTAAACAATTTATGATTTGAAATAGTTCCCCTGTGCACCGCCACCTCCCCCCCCCCCCCCCC